TGGAGGGTTTTACTTAACGAATCGAAGATCTTCCATGTTTGTTTAATGTCTAGTTCTCCAAAAAACCCTTTAATTCCCGTTCAGAATCGTATAGTACATGGACATTGAGTGCTCCGTCTCTTTTCTATAAATCTGGTAATGTAAACATATTGGTCACGACATGCATACAAATGGAATCCATTTACCCAAAAACTCTCGATTATTAATACCATGCATCCGATCCTGTCTACACCAGTCCGAGGACCGGACCTTTATAATTAGTGTCCCCCAAAATTTTCTCACCGGCTGGTCCTTGTACCGGCCGTGGAAAGCTACACTACACAAGAGGTTTTATCCAGTTATTACCCAGCTGGTTGCGTCACGTGATAGCTGGTCTATCAGATATACCTGCTGGTATCCCCGGCCCGTGTAGTTGGTGGCCTGGTGGGTGTTGCAGGCTGCTTCCCTTGTTCTGACCAGGTTGTCCTCAACATAAAGTTGTCGCGCTAACCCCATGATTGATGATTCGTCTGTGATTTTACAGCTTTTGTTTGGAGTTATACAAAGTTATGATTAGTTAAAGCCGTGTAAAATTTGCTCGAATAGGCTTTTATGCTTAGGCCCACAGAATGGATCATGTGGCCCCGCAGCCGTCGTTTTTCAATTAATTAATGACATGGTTGGTGGTCAGAGGGGCTTGAGAAATGTTCTAGGTTAAGCAAACCCCGTAATGATCATCTGTTGACCTCCTATCCATGTCGAGTTGACTATACCCGTGTCATTTTAGTGGAGGTAACCAGTATACTATGTGAATACATGTGACTCAGCCCACCCACGATACAGAATACTCCCCTCACTTCAATTTGCCGTTAAACTTTAAGCGTGAGCACCTATCCTGCTCAATGCTCATATTAAGTTTCGGTGGCATACCATCTTCAAAGCTCTTCATTACCGTTCTTGCTAATGATCGGCGTTTTTGAAGTTACTCAAGCCACACCTATTACACATACCACTGATATTCACAGCTGGTTTCGCAATTCGCATTGAAGTTATACGTTGTAGCTTTGTAGACATTACTGGTTTTATAGGTAAAACTTTGCTACAAGGTCTTACTGAGAGCAGTTTGTAATTTGTCATTTTGTGTAGTATATTATATTTGGGTTTACTTTACTACCCTCCGTAACACGCACCACTAATTTGCACAGGTGGTGCTTTCCCAATTCGTACTGGAATTAAGCAAAGCTACTTGAAGCTTAAACTCTGTACTAGAAGGTCATTTGCGAGTGTAATTTGTAGTTTTTTGGAGTGTAATTTATAGTTGAGTGACTTGTTCTGCACGGGTTTCTTATTTTTTCTTTTTCTTGGCTGCAGTCAGTCCCAGTCTGAGTACCGTCTGGTACTCCCAACAAATTACTCCCAACAAATTACTCGATACAAATTACTCGATACCAATTACTCGATACAAATTACTCGATACCAATGATATCCGGATATCATTTTACAAATTCTTGTACTCAGCAGAACAATGGTTTTTTACTTTGTCAGCACTGTTACAAATTACAAAGGTCTTGTGTAACAATCATAATATTACGATTAGCTTCTTATCATCGTTGATGTCAATTAGTCAGGACGCGGCTGCCAAGTTCACTGTCGTAAATTCGTCATTTTGACCAGACTCATGATCATTACCTTCCATCAATGGAACCCCAAAAAATTTCATTTCACAATCTTCACGGACACGAGCGTCTGAAAATATTTATAATTGTGAGAACTGAATACCAGAACGTTGAGTAGGCACCAGAATTACGTCTCTCAGACCATCTCTTCATCTTTTCTGCTGTGTTCTCACTGTTCCCTGAGCTCACTTGCTCTGACATATTGGCTTCAGTGTTGAAAGGATTTTCTAGAAGTAAGAATTAAACAATTACTCCCAAACTCCGGGCTGAGTAGCGATAATACACCGCCAATTCGCACGTCCTAGGTCACCTCCTGAAATACCCTCTTATCTGCTGCACGTACGGCTCTTATCCCATTATCAGGACATCAGACCATTTAGCTGCCCCCTGTAATTCTCACGGGGCCCAGGTCTGCTCACAGGGCTCCGGGTAAAACGCAGGGCTCCGGGTAAAACACAGGGCTCCATGTGAAACACGGTGTTCCGGGGGAACGTGGCCTGGAACCAGGAAGGGACAATTGGTGACGGCTGGTGACCTGAGGATCCTTATCCTGTTCAGAGTTCCGGTCCACGTGCCATCTGTTCCACATTCCGTGCATACCACCACCACTACAAGACCCCGCTTCACAGTGTAATCCGATTCTTGTATTGTTCTGCAGTGGTTTTAACCAGCTTCCATCCTGCAAATTACATCATCACCTCATTATTCCTGTGAGGTTTGTGCTAGTATCCGTGAAGCGGCAGATGTTGACGATTCGAGCTGTGCAACCGATTTCCGCCAGCGATCATCTTCAACACTACCTCAGCTAACAACTTCTCCCCTGCACCTCATACAATTAGGCGTGTGGTGACCTTGTTTGGTGAGATTTATTATCCGGGTGGTGCTGTACAAAACACCGCCACAAACTGCTTAGTTACTCACGGTTCGTTGTGGTTTTTTGGCTCCTACGTATCTATTATTATATTTATTTTGAAGTAGGCTATGTGCTCCATCTAGCTTGCTCAACCGTTTTTTACAATTTTACTGCCGGGTTTTATTATCATTTTATTGATTCTTCTGCAGGCTTTATTTTCCTCAGACTACTCAAACCACAACCAAACCATGTGCAAGATGTCCCTGTGTGTGTGCTGTTTTTGGTAATCGTTTCAGTCTTTGTACTGCTGTTCCAACCGAAACCTGATATTCTCATGTCGTTACATATTATACTGTCTATTCTTAACTTTTTACTCCTACGCACTTACGCACGTCGGAAATTCTTTGAAAATCGGTTTTTGGGAGTCTGGCAGGGTATTTCAGTCATCAGTGGTCATGCTTCTGATGTTGGGCCTTCGTCGGGGGACTCGAGATCTGTATTTAGAATCATTCTAAATACAGATCTCGAGCCGCCTCTGTTAGAATGCTCCCTGTGCCCTGGTTCCTGTCTAGTTACAGTAATCTGCAGCGTCATTGTCTCTACTATATGCACTGAATAATCCTGTTACAATCTCAAAACCAGTTTATTTCGTCTAATTACCTTCCAATCACATATATATAGTGTACTTGCTTAAGTGGCAGCCACGTCCGCTGATTGACTCGGGTTTCACAAAGCCACAGAGTCACAAATTCACAGAGCAGGAATGCTCTCCGAAGTGGTCATGTTACGCAACGCTCGCCGTGACTATAAGTCTCATAACGTTTAATTGTTGTATGTTGGCGCCGTTTGTGGTTATGCCGTTGATTTTACCACGTGTAGTATAATATATAATTTAATAGGTCCCGACATGACTCCCAGCTCTCGCTTTGATGCTATTTTTAGATTGGAAGTAATCCTGCCATGGACGTAAATTGATTTCTTTTTATAGCTGGTCTCAGCCTCGTGGTCAGCCTAATTATTTTAGACACGAGGATGACATTGTGACATTTAATTCAAGCCTGCAACATGGGCTATTCATTAAAATTACTGATTGTAGCCTGAAATTCTGCAGCAAAACTGTTTAATAGTCCCAACTGTTATATAGTCAGAAAATACCTTATCGTTTATATTTGTTTTATCGTAGTTCTATCTTCTAATTATAGCTCATTACAAGTCTGGAGATGATGTATCATTATAATTCTCGTAACAACCCGCTATAAGCCGCCTAGATCTGAACACCTGACCACCTTTCTACTCTCGGTATACTTCCTTGTGACCTGGTAGAGATGAGGTGTCTGTAGCCGCCACCTGCACACCACCAACAAGGTCTAATACATGAAATAATGGGCCCTTTGTGTTGCAAAGTGGGCACCCGACCTGCTATTGTAACCTCGTTATTGCTTCTTCTTCTCCAGATTATTATATTGCTAGCTCGCAAATTTAGTTGTGTTATCTTGTTGTGTTCTGCAGCTGATTGTTGGCATGATCTCCCCAACTTTAGCTACTGTATTGTACAGAAAATATCATCGTCACAAGACAAAATCATATTCGTCATTATTTTTGTATTCTGAAGAAAATATCACTAGCACAGTACACGTATATGCTTGATGAGCGTTGAATTCTCGCCGTACAGCGCCATGACCTTCATAAAGAAACGAAACCGAGCCCAGTCCCTGGAATGCATCTTCTCGATAAGGAAGGCGGACCAGCGCAAAGGAAGCTTGCAGACCGGTGAGAGTGACACCTTCATCACACCTTCATTGTAACCCTAACTTACTGTCGTAATTTTGCAGTACATTTAAACTTTATCCATGGGAGGAAACATTTTTTACATTTTATTTATTTCGAGCGCCGTGAAGGGTATGTTAACGTTACGAATGGGAGGGACCATTGGCTCTCCTATTGTGTTTGTGTGAGTGTAATAATAATCAATAACATGAAATTGTTAAGGAATTATGACAGCTATTTGACTGGAATTTTAACACACAAAAGACAAGTCTGATCCGTCTTAATGAAGTGTTAAAAATCCCTCTCCGAAGACCCAGACTTTTACCTATTTACAGACCTGACAAAACTCCATAGCTCACCCACCCTGCTCTATATAGGAATCTAAGTATCTTACACACCCTGTTCTCGGAGAAGGGCTGATGTTTAATAAGACAGACTGTTAGTAGTTATAGTACCACCACGCCTGAAGAAGGAGGCTTGTTAGTATGTTAGTAGTAGGAGTAGTAATACTCCGAGTAACAACACGCCTGAAACACCTCTCACTAGATTGTTAAAAACAGTGACACTGCATTGTGACAACATTGTGACAAGACATTTTTCCCTACTATTTACCCTAATTTAAGATCCACCCAAAGTCTGGTTATAACATTTAACCTCATATTTAACCTCCGAGAATTGTCTCACATTTACAACTCACCCTCAAATCTAACCTCCTCTCTCCCCAGACTGCGAGTACCTGGTCCACAAAACGTGCAGTATGCAGACACTGGAGGCCAGCCCTCCACCCCGAGATAAGAAACCGCACAAGAAACTCAACTGGAGCTCACACAACCCAGGTATGTAGTACTTGTATGTCTGTCTGTTTGTGTCTGTCTCCCTAGTTTGTTGGAATTTCAGTTATTTTCGTCTGTTTGTTTGTTGCTGTACTAGACTGTTAATTCAACCTTCTTAGCAGCTTATTATGGGGGTTTATATCAAATAAAAGGGAGGCAACAACCACATAATTTTTATCGAGATGTTGCTTTATTCTGTCAGATAATGTGTATATTTTGTCAGTTGTTCTTGTCGTCAAAGATATAATTGGATATTGTGGTCTATCATTTGATGGGTCAGGGTTTGGTGGGTGGTTACTGGTTAACCTGAAGGGTTTGGTCTAATTAGGCCCCAGGGCTGAAATTTGTGGAAGGTGGGAACTAACAGGTGCGATGCGAGCAATTCTACCGTGTTGCTTTAAACAATGTTTGCAAAGAACTTCTACTGTAACTATACTCTAATTTCTAAAAATAACTAGTCTAATATTTTCAAGATTATAATAATGATTATAGCTGGTATAGATGTTAACAATATAGAACACATTGCAACATTATAATGAGCTGCTCCCATGTGATACAATCACATTATTAAACTAATGCTGTAGTGTTCTGGACCGTGTTGAGCACACTATGTACGTGTGTTTCTCCTTTAATATTTATTGACTATCCTTTTGCCACCTCCATACTCCTTGTTTGCCTGCCGTTGTAACCGAAACTTTAATTAATAACCTTCACAACCTTTATTTTTGACATCAAACATTTCATGGAAATGGAAATAAACTTTTCCCGCCGAATTATGAGTATTTCCAATTTCTCCTAACAACAGATAGGTTACGCTTCTCCGTACTGCTTAAGTTTCCAGTTTCTTGCCGTTTTATCCTACGTAAAACTGAAATCATGTTTGATATTTTTTTAATTTAGTATCATCGCATCATGTTATCTACATTTTATGCACCTTATATAATAATGCGTCAGTTGGTACGAAAATAGAGCCATGGGAAATACAGTGTCGTATTTCACGTCCAGGATTATTATTCTGGAATTATGAGCCACTTGTTGTGTTATTCAGTGGTATGTTTATTATCAGTGCGCATAATTTTCTCTTAAGACTGCCCATTATGTTTATAATTCTCTTGTTATCGGTTATTTGTCTTATCGTTTAAATAATTATTTTTGTAGGCTAGAATGCCAGACCAAGTCTAGTTTCCTTGATTCGATGTCTAGATTTTAATTTCTGTACTTATGATAGGGACAATAATATTAACTAAAATTATACCCCCAAAATAACGGGACTTGTTAATCGTTAGGCGCCACTAGGTATATTGATTTTTATATGCGATTACTCATTTAAAACTTAGGCCTCATTAATTCTTTAATTAACTCTCCATGCGCGCGCTACATAAGTGTTAGCATCATCATATCGACCTCATCCTAAGATCACTGTATCTAATTAACACTCTTAAATTATCACCTACTCAACCCCCACCTTTAGCGTTAGTTCAATGGTGCCAGTCTGACCTTCTTTACCAATTCTACAACCTTTTATTGACATATTATAACCTTCTACAACCTTCTATTAATGTATTTACTCCTCTAAAAACTCGCGTTCCCCTCCTTCCTGTCAATGATCTCGGACTTCTGACAGTGAAATTAACGATGTCAGCCTCGCATTATCGGAGATGTAGGACGGAACAAGTGTTTCTGTTAACCGGACAATAATCCTGATTTGATCAGGGAGAAGGAGAGGTTTCTCCACTCCCCTGGCTCCACCCTCTATTCCTCATCTCCACGATTCTTTGTCCGCTTTTTGTTTTGATCTGGTTTTTCGTGGTATTTCAATTAGGTTCCTGCTCATTTAATCATTATTACTAAATCCTGCTGAGTTCATAATGTGTTCAGAAACATATCAAGTTCATTATTCCTTCTTTTGAAGAGCCCGCTATTTGGAATTGGACTAATGACCAATGAACGTGACTATGAATCTCATGGAAAAATTACTTTCCAGATAACAGGCGAGATGTTCGTGACTTCTGAGGTCCTTTCTAATTTTATTCCCTCGATTTCTCATTCCTCTCCGGGGTTTTTTTTTGGTGGCTCCTACCAATTGGTATTTTATTCAACAAATAAAAACTTCGATTGGCCACACCTTAACTTTAAATAAAATATTATATTATGATAATTATTATTTGTTTGTATGGCTTTAACAAACTATAATAAACTATTATATAAACAATAATTGCTCTGAATAATGTAAGTAAATTTTCGTCGTCTTGTTTATATAAAATGCACCCCTTTCGACGTGGTTTTCATTATTTTTATCGATAAATGCTCAACACAGAGCTATACTTTGTCTCTATGACTTGATCCTTCATTTTATATTTATCACGTACATTAACTCCGACTCTCACTATTTGTACCCTTCCTTAACTCTTCACTGCTAGACAAACTCCTCGCCGCGCTGTCTTGAGACGCACTTCTGCGGATTTATTCCCTTTAATCCGATCCACTTTATTACATCCAACGTGAGCTATAGCTGCGTGTTATCTGACTTCCAATCCACTTATGATAACTTATACGGCCTTATTAACTATTTAGAGTCATATCCCATACACTGGAACTCATTAAAACACGATACATCTCGAGATCTGCTCAAGATCTCTCGTGGTCACTGACACCTTTTTACAGGGGTCTATGATTTAAGAAGCTATTCTTGTCCCCAGTGCCCTCTCTCTCCTCCCTGATCATGCATGTCAAGGTAACTCGCCGGATCTAGTCCAGATTAGATTAGCGAGAATCTGTTGTTGAGCTCCCTAAATCGTGTATATTTTCTGCGTAACATATCGCCGAGAGAATGGTGATCTCACTGGATCCAAACTCGCGAGCAGTTTCACTCCATTTTTAGTCCAGCGCGTGAGTGGTTGCTTTTAAAATTTGCTTCTCGTAATTTCTTGCTTATCATAATATCTTGTTCTGTGTCCTGGAGTTCTTTTACCCTACACGCACAAGGAACTGTGATTTTATTTCTGAAGATTCTTGGGTTACGTTTTCTGACGACATTTGTCTTTGGAGTTCTCTGTTTTCTTTGAGGTTAGCCGTCTGAAAGCTATCTAATCTCGCTAGCATTCTTAACTTGCGTCGCGGACCATGGTGTTTCAATAAGTCAATACCCGGCGAAACACAATCCACAAAAGAGATATGTTGGTCAGCTTATTTAGAATTCCTGGGAAGAGAAGTGCTGATAAAAGATAAGAGCTTTCAACTCGCATTAACCCACCTATAGCCACATTATTCGCTTCCATTCAAAATATTTTCTTGTCTGTAGTTTTCCCTTTGTAGTGACCTGCCTTCTGTTCAAGGAAAAACCTCGCGGCACAAAACTCCTTTAATTTCTTCCGCGCATAATTAGTTCTTGTGTGTCCGTGCATGCATCAAATCACTTTGAGTCAATCACTATCGTATACTTGTTGCCACCTGGATAGTGGGTTGATTGCGTCGTGATCGTCTACTCCAATCATACTCCATTAAATATCGAGCTGTTACAAGCGGACTAGGTGTAAGCAGTTCTCTTTCTTTTCAACAGTTTAATTTTTTCACGTTTGATGTTGCAACAATCGATACCAGTCAGAGTGGTGTGGATAGAACGATTATTTTGTTGCGGTTGGAATAGGAGAAGTAGCCAATTCATTGCTATCAATAGAGCGGCTCAGTCATGATTAAAATTAGAATATTTAACATTTTGCTCCGATATTATTATTGACAGGTTTTTTTGATACCAGATAAACGGCTCGGATATGGCAACCTGGAGAATATTCTAGGATTTGGCGACTGATACCCCAATAATAATCAATATCCACGGGTATTACCCCGATCTCACAATTACTGTTCGTTCGCCGTATTTTATTAAAATTAGGAAGTCTTTGTTTACCATTGAACATATTAGATACTTTTTGTTGATTAATTCACCTAAGTTATAACGTTACAGTTACACAGAGGCATGAACAATCCATGATTCAATCAAAAGTTACAATTTAGCCAAGCCTCGTTCTCCAACTCCGGGTGTATGATTCTTATTTTTCCGTTTACCTCAATTATGGTTAGCATAACTTGATTTCGCTCATTTGTCGTTAATTCCTATATTTTCCATAAAAGTAAATAGTGTTAGTCAGTAAATTCACCGGATATATTCCAGATTGTCGCCATGTTTTATTCGCATATTTGTGAGATCGAATTTTCGATCTTTAATTTTAAAACTTGATGCGACGTTGGACGTACTTGAGCCTCTGCACGAGTTTTTAAAACTGCCCAATTTAGAATAATTCCACAATATAATCATCTCTCTCCCTTACGATCACTCGGACATCCCGGCTTGTCCTATTAGCTTGCACACCAAATTTTTAAAAACTTGCGCTTATCGTGTATGTTAGGCGTTATTGGATCATTTGTAAGTTTTCTGAAAGACGGCTATAACAAGAGGTCAACAAACAGCACCCTAAGACCCCAGAACTAAACCCTAATCCTTAGTCCACCATGCACGATCACATCGGCCAAAATGACGGTGCGGTCTCCCAATCTCCCTTATTATTACAAAGCATGTTCCCATATCGACAAATTCCCTGTCAACTATTCTGCCACATTCCTGTCATGACATTCTCCAAAGTCCTCTCTCCTCTCGACCTCCTTTGTCACGGGATCCTTACCTGAAACGAGCGGTGGAGCGCTACTTAGCGCCTCATTATCCGCTCTCTCTCTCTCTCTCTCTCTCTCTCTCTCTCTCTCTCTCTCTCTCTCTCTCTCTCTCTCTCTCTCTCTCTCTCTCTCTCTCTCTCTCTCTCTCTCTCTCTCTCTCTCTCTCTCTCTCTCTCTCTCTCTCTCTCTCTCTCTCTCTCTCTCTCTCTCTCTCTCTCTCTCTCTCTCTCTCTCTCTCTCTCTCTCTCTCTCTCTCTCTCTCTCTCTCTCTCTCTCTCTCTCTCTCTCTCTCTCTCTCTCTCTCTCTCTCTCTCTCTCTCTCTCTCTCTCTCTCTCTC